ATATGGAAAGTGAATTTGCTCTGTAAATCTTCACCCAAATCACAATTAAAAAAAAAAAAAAAAGAAAAGGACTAGGCTTACTGGTCTATTAGAGACTGGTAAAACCCCCAAGACTATGGCCTCTAGTCACGCTTTGGGCCTGGAATTGAACTCAGTCCTGTGGCTTCCAGCCAAACAATGGACAGGCCTACAAGGTGAACAATTACACCAGGTAGGCACACTCTTTAGAACAATCATTGGTGTGAGAGCAGAAGGGCAGCATTTGCACAGGGAGATAGCTTAGAGACCAGGAATGCATAGGAGAGAAAGACACAGGAAATATAACCTCAGGGAGGAAGTGGGAAGAGAGCTGTTGCATTATAGAGATTATAATCAGTGTCATGAAAGAAAATATATATGAATTATTGAATGGAAAATGAATTTTCTCTGTGAACTTCCACTTAAATCATGATAAAAACAAGGAAAAAAAAAAAAAAACCCTACAGAGCACAGTTCTACTATGACACACATGGGTCATCATGAGTCAGTATGATGAAACTGGTTAACTGGTAGAGAAAATACCCTAGACACTATCTCTCTCCACTTCTGCCAGTGTTTGAAAATATGAGCATATTTATATTGTATACCTATTCCTTGCTTATAAACTATCTTATCTGACATTTCACATTGAAGACAGTAGTGAAAAATCTATTATCTGACTTTTTTGTTTTAACAGCATATATTGGCAGTAATGAGTGTCAATATTTGAGGTAGGAGTTATGCTGGCTATAATGGTTAAGTTCTGTGTCAGCTTGGTGGGCCATGATTCTCAGTGGTTTGGCAGCTATATAATGATGTAGTCTGGCAGTTATGTAATGATGTAATGATGTTATTCTCCATTTTGTGATCTGATGTGGTCATCATCCATTTTCACATAATGCTGATTTTTGCATCATGACCTTTGGAGAATAATCATGTCTGTAAGTGAGGAGTTAGGTTACTTTACTCCAGCTGTACCTTGGTGAATAAACCCTGAAGATGGTCACATGTGAGCATCCAGTGTTTTTAATTCCTTTGTTTAATACCAAACCAAAAAAACCCAAACTCACTGCTGTCGAATCAGATCCAACTCATAGTGACTCCTCCCTGGGTTTCTGAGGCAGTATTACTACGGAAGTAGATTCCTCAACCTTCCTTCCAAGGAGTGGCTGGTGGGTTTGAACCACTAGCCTTCTGATTAGCAGTCAAATGCCTTAGGCACTACAACACCAGAGCTTCCTTAATACCAGGAGAGTGATTTTTAAAAAAATTTGTATTGTGATTTGGGTGAAAGTTTACAGAGCAAATTCATTTTCCTTACAGCAGTTCATACACATTTTGTCTCATGACATTGACTGCAATTTCCCACAATGTTACAGCTCTCTTCCCACTTCCTCCCTATAGTTACCTCTTCCCTGTTTCCTTCCCTCCCATGTACTCCTGCCCCTCCCTGAGCTATCTCCCTGTGCATACACTGCCCTTCTGTTCTCTCATGATTGATCTCTCCAAGGAGTGTATCTACCTAATACAAATGTTCAGCACATATGCCTATTATTTGGTTGGAAGCCACAGGAGTGAGTTCAATTCCAGACCTGAAGGGCACCTAGGGGCCAAAGTCTCAGGGGTTTCACTGGGCTCTATCAGACCAGCAAACCTGGTCTATTTTTTTTTTTTTTTAAATTAATGATTTTGAGTTTTGTTCCACATTGTTCTCCCACTCTATCCAAGATCTGCTATATAGATCCCCCTCCGAGTGGTTAACATTAGTAGCCAGGCACAATCTAGTTCTTCTGGTCTCATGGTCTTATAGGTTGAAGATCACGTGGTCTGCCAGTCCCTTGACTAAATGTTTCCCTGCATCTTTGGTTTTCTTCATTCTTCTTTGCTCTGGACGAGGAGAGATCCATTGTTGCATCTAGATGGCCGCTTGCAAGCTTTTAAGATCCCAGTTGCTACTCACCAAAGTAGGATGTAGAAAAAAGTTTTTGTGTACTATGTTATGTCAATGAGCTTGATGTCCCCTGCGACCATGATCCTGAGACCACAGATTCAACTACTCACTTCCTCTGGGTAGCTGGCTATGGCCAAAACAAGGAGGATGATTTTTTGTGGTCTTCTAAGATCCCTGTACTAGAGAAATCCTGGTGGTGGAGTCATTTTCTGTTGATGGTAGTCCATTGAAAGGAGAAAAAATATTGACTGAACCTCAGAGACCTGCCCAGTGACATCACAGATTTACGCATCTCTTATCTATGTGCATTGCCCCCCCCACCCCCCAGCAGCTGATGCTACTTCTGGCTTTTCCTCAGAAAATGCAAAAATATAGATAATAAAAATTTATATCTGAAGGTTTTCAGAAGAAATAACCTACTCTCATCCCTCCATTATATACGAAATTAAGCCCATGAGACTAAAAATCTCACCAATTAATGGCAGACTCAAAATTAGAATTCTGATTTTTGACTTCTGTTTTATGCTCTCTCAACAATACCTTGCCTTTCATATATAGAGTATTATCTCCTTAAATAAGTGAGTCTTCAGTTAAGATATAATCAATTCTGTTTATTTTTGTCATAAATATAGCAATTTTTTTTTTTCTCTGCTAAGTTTATAGACTTGACCTCCAAGGTGGTTGAAATTTAGAGTCTGATTACTCTGCCATCAATGAGAGAAAGGAGTGATCGAGAGGGAAGGAGAGTGTGGTGGTTAAGTTTGTGTCAACTTGGCTGGGCCTGGTCGAGTGGCTGGGCAGCTGAATGTAGTTATTCCCCATGGTGAGATTGGTAATTAACTCCATGGTGGAATCTATTGGAGCAGATGAGTAGCTGCTTTGGGTATGTGGTCTGCTTCCTGTATATAAGAAGCAGCTTTTGGAATGGTCTCCAGGTTATGGCACACTTGAGCCCTGCATGTAGCCATGTCATTGTTCAGCAGCCTGGCATGCTCTGCCAACCTTGGGACTTTCAATGGACTTAAATGAATGGCCTGCTGTGTGGTTTGGTAACATCAGGACTGTGCCATTTTATTTGTCGACCTTGGGCTTGTCAGCCTCAGCAGCCAGTAGCTGCCTGAGTGAAGAGATGCCTCTGAGGTCAGTGGGCCAGGAGCAAGAAGCAGAGATGAACCCCAAGGTCGAGGGGCTTTCACCCAGCCGTTAGAGCCTGGCACTTGAAACTTGGACTTCTAGCCTCCTGAACTGTAAGAGAATAAACTTCTATTTGTTCAAGCCATCCCATTTGTGGTATATTCTTGTCAGAGTGGCACTAAGTAACCAGAACAGAGGGGGACATGATTTCAAATTCAAAATCTTTATTTAATGTTTCTTTTGTTCAGCGTCAGAGTTGAAAAGTGAATTCAAAAGATCATATATTTTCATTTCTTTTACGGATGTGAAAAAGTCCATTCAAAGTGAGGCCTTATTACGGCTCTACTTTACTGCCAACAGAAGGCGCTCTGGTGGTGTAGTGGTTAAGGTATTTGGCTGCTAACCAGAAAGTACTGTGGTTTGAACCCACCAGCTGCTCTGCAGAAGAAAGATGAAGTGGTCTGCTTCTGTAGAGATTTACAGCCTTAGAAACCTGATAGGGATCACTATGCATTGAAATCAACTTGATGGCAGTGAGTTTGAGTTTTTGGTTTCACTGCTAACACAATCAATGGCTGCCCACCCTTTCTTCCCAAATCTCATTCAAAAGTTACCATTAAGTTAGCAATCCTCAGGCCACAAATGCTGTCTCCACAACAAACTGAACATTTCAGATCCTGTTCTGCATCCTCCAAGTTACTGACTGTATTTATTTCCCTACCCCAGCATAACATTTTCAATTCCTCAAAATTGCCACCTCTTCTCCCTCCCAAGTCCCTGCTGTTCATCTTTGGAACTTCTGAATTTTTGCCTGTAAGACAGTATTCACATCTGCCATGAAGCATTTTCAGTTTTTTCTGCCTGACAGCTTTTCAAGGTCTATGAGTAATTTAGCCCTGAAGATGAGGCTGTAAGGGCCTTGGTATCCAGCTTTGGAACTTTTTCTTCCCATGTTTGTGCCTTTCAGATTGGCTGCTACTCCAGACCCCTCACCTGGTGTTTGAGGAGGGAGAGCCCATCGTGCTGAGATGCCACAGCTGGAGGAACAAGCCTCTGTACAAGGTCACATTCTTCCAGAATGGAAAATCCAAGAAGTATTCTCATGCAAATTCTAACTTCTCTATCCCACGAGCAAATGTCAGTCACAGTGGAGATTACCACTGTACAGGAGTACTAGGGCAGCTGCACCACTCACAGCCTGTGACCATCACTGTCCAAGGTGGGTATGCAAAATGCTCAAATCATTTTCTTTTAGAAGGATCAGCACAAGGCTGGTCCCTATGAGGTGGATATTAGAGATGTCCCAAATGTCCAACTTTTCCAAACTGCTGTGCCACTCCATCATCTCTAACATCAACTCCTCCTCCTTCTCGCAGTACTCTCCCTCTATCTTAGGTTCCATATTTCACCGTAAGGTATCACAGAACTCACAAACTGCCAAGGAAAGGGCTCACATGCTGGTAGAGGCTGGCAAGTCCAAGGCTCTGGGTAGGTCTGGAGGATTCTCCCCACTGGCATGGTTGCAGGGTCTGGTGAACCTAAATTGACAGGTCAGATGACTGGCTGCTGTCTCAAGTCCAGGGCCAAGATGATGAGGAACAAAATGCAGGACCCAAGCAAAAGAAAGAACTTTCCCAGAACATTCACATATGTACCCTCAAGGAAACTAAGGGTGGTGACTTGAGTCATACCCTCCAGCAAGATGGGACTCAAGATACATCCCACCTTAAACAGGCATAGAGACTAGGATTTACAATACATCACAAAATGGAGGATGATGGCTAGAAGGGCCATATTAAGCAATTCACTGCACTGCAAGAGGGGATGAACATCTCTGTTTAAGCTTCAGACATTGGAATGATGGGTAGAGAGGAGATTACAAATCTTTTTCAGACTTTTCTATCTGTACTCTCTTCAGTGGGCATCCTTGACGTCAGTGGGAACACTGAAAATCCTACCTTGGCCCAATTGCTGTGTGGATGTTCAGCCCAGTTCTATAGTTCATTCCTCAGAGATTGTAGAACTGAGTATCATTCACTTGGAGTTTTAACTCTTACAGGAAAGACCCACTTTTTCCTCCTCACAAAGACATCTAATCATAATCACCCTCCCACCTTTTCACCTCGTTCAAACCATTCCACTTTGTCATATCTCCCTCTTTCTCCTAGAATTCTGAGGCTTGTAAACCTCCCTACTGACCGGATAAGTCTAGACCCAAATCTTAGCTCAGGAAAGCCATGTTAATATGAGAATCTCTTCCCACCTACAAAGAACCAGATCTGTGGCTGTTCTTGAGAAACTGCATTGTGAAATCCTCATCATGCCTTTTTCAGGAGGCATCACAAGTCTGTATCGGACTAGTGTTGGTCAATGAACATCATCACCCTGTCCTAGGCTCAGATAAGATGAAGTGCAGATCTACTGATGTGGTTTATCGATTCTCTAGTTCAATGTTTTCCAAAGGTTGTTCCCCTGTCACATTACTCCTTGAGAAGTTTTTCAGAATGAAAGGTTGGAGCTCTGGTGAAATTAATGTGGAACATGCTGCAAAGTCTGTTCCTCCCTATAGATTCACAAGGCACATTAAAGGCTTCAAGAAACTCTGTTGTTCTAGAACCGCGGAGGGAGCGAGCGAACCGGCTAGAGGCCAGCGCCGCCACCGCGGCTTCTGAGCCGGGCAGCAGCAGCCCGGACTGCGGCGAAGGCTGCAGCGCCCGAGGGCCCAGCCGGGCGCAGCTCCCTAACTGTTGGGCGCGCCCGCCTCCCGGCCTCCTAGTCTCCGCACTCTGTGCGGCCGCTGCCGGGTCTGTTGTTTCTGCGACTGCTCTCCTCCGGCTGCAGGTGCAGGGAGCTCGCTAGAGCTGCCACCTCCACCAGATCCGAGGGAGCGCACAAGCTAGTGCGCGGGAGGGAGGGAGGCGACCGAGGAGGAGGAGCGGGAGGAGCGCGGGCGGGGGCGGGAGCCGTGGGGCCCGGAAATACATAAAGTGAAGCTGCATTGCCAAACTTGCAGCAGCTATTGCAGCAGTTGCTGCCGCTGCGCCGCGCCTGAGACCGCGCCGCGGGGTAGAGGGCTATTGCAGCTGCTCCGGCGGAGGTGGAGGAGAAGGACAAGGACCTAGACTGCCACTTCTAATGCCGGGCCGGGGGCCATTTAACGCCCCCCCCCCCAACATCCAGCCTCAGAGCAACGCCGGTTTTTCTTTTCTTTTCTTTTAAAGCAGCCCTTAGCCCCCTCCTCCCGTTTCCTGCTTCTGCGAGAACTCCCTCTCTTCCCCCCTTCAAAAGAAGAAGCTCTGTTTTTTAAAAGAAAATCTTTAAACTGCGTACACATAGCATTTCCCAAACTTAAGTGACCACAAAACCTTTTCCCTAACTTTTATTAGTGTCCCTCAGAACAGATGTGTGCAGGTCGCCTTTGGGAAATGCTGATCTGGTGCTTTATCTGGGAAGGCAGAAAGATAAGGGATCCTCTGAAGACTTCTGGGTCTATCTGTCTCCTTTTGGCATTAACTTCAGCCCCTGGCTTAGCTGTCTCACAATGGCTGTCTACTGGGGACCTCACTGTTTATTTACTCCAAATTTCCACTTTAATGCCTGTCATTTTTCTCATCCCTCTTCCTGTCCTACAGGTTCAACAAGTCCATCCATCTCATCATTCCTTCTATTTTGGCATCAAGTCACTTTATTCCCGGTGATGGTACTGCTGTTTATAGTGGACACGATCCTGTATCTCTCTTTGCAGAGAGACCTTCAAAGCTCAAGGGGCAACTGGAGGAACCACAAAGTCAAATGGAGCCAGGGCCCTTAGGACAAATGATCCTTCATCCTACAGAGTAATTAATAGTAGTGGCAGCACTAATTTTCCTCCTCTCACAGTCCCTCCTGACAACCTGGATGAAGGGGCCTCCACTCACCCTTTAGCCTCCAGGGAAAGGAAGGGCTTATGATCTTGGGGCAAAGACCCAATAGCCCCTCTCTCACCCCTGAGCTCTGAAGACTGAGGTATAGAGCTTCACACTCACAGCCTGCCCAGCTCTACAAGGACTCACATCAAGTGTATTCTCACCGAACTTGGACAAAGGCTTCTCAATACACAAAACCTCAGTAAATCCTGTTTCTAGCTTGAAAATACATCCAGCATCTGACCACTTTTCCATGCTCTACCACTACTACCTTGGTCTAAGACACCATCATCTCATTCCTGTTTCAGCAGTAGCCTCCTAACTAGTCTCCCTGCACTCACTGTTGTTACCCTATTCTCATTCTCCTCACAACAGCCAGAGTGATCTTTTTAAAATATGTGCCAACTCTGTCACATCTTTGCTCAAAACAATGCAATAGCTTCCCATTTCACTTGGAGTAAACACTAAAGTGTTTGTAACATTCTACATGATCTTATAACTCACTACCTTTCTGACCTCCTCTCCTACTGCTCTTCTGTGCTCACTGTTGCTCTTCACTGAACACACCAAGTATACTTCTGCCCAGGGACTATGTTATTTCTTGTTTCTGAGATGTTTTTTCACACAGATATCCCTGAGACTTGCTTCATCATGTCCATTAGGTCTTCACTCAAATATCACCTTATCCGTGAGGCTTCCTTGATCATCCAGTATAATCCCATTTCCCCCCATGCTCCTAATTCCTCTCTCTTGCTTTATTTTTTCTCCATTGTACTTAATCACCAATTGATAGACTGTACATTTACTTAGTTGTTTACTGTCTGACTCATACCCTCCAATCAGAATGTGCACTCCACGAGAGCAAGAGTTTTGTCTGTTTTATTTACTACCACATACTCAGAGCCTAGGTCAGTGTCTGGTAAAAGTATTCAATAAATATTTGTGTCATAAATAAAATCTTTGCATTTGAAACCAGAGAATTTTAAAGCTGGTAATTCCTTAGAAACAATGTAGTGCAATTTCCCCATTTTAAAATTGAGAAAGCTGCGGCCTACATAGGTTAAATTAGTTGTTCAAGGACATACAAGTAGTTAGTTTCACAAATCTTTATATATACAGTTTGGGATAATACTATACATTTTGTTCTACAACTTTTTTTTTTTTTAACTCAATATTGAATCATGAGCATCCTTCCACTTCACAATATCTGTTTATGTCATTATTTTAATGTCTACTCTACTTTTAAAGATTATCAAAGTTATTAAACAAATGGATATAAATTTTATACATACATAAGCTCCCTTATGCTTAAACTCCCTGGGTATATAAAAATTAAAGAAATGAATGACTCATTAGAAGCATACCTGTGTAATGCTGTGGTTAACATTCATACACACAGTGCCTGCTTTGGGGCTCCACTCGAGACTCTTGAGGGAAAGATGGATGGTGTTTTGAGGCTGCAGAGGGCTAAGAGAGAGAGTTTGAAGAGCCATGGCAGGGCAGTCCCTGAGCAAGTCAGCATATCTACCCCTCTAGGTATGCAAGATCCCAGGCCAGGTTACCTTTATCTTTTAGCTACTAGCTAAAATCTCCCTGCCTCTGACACAAAGTGGTGTGGAAGTTGTCAGTTCCACATGAGAGTGAATGAATTTTAAATTGATAGCTTCTCTCTCTCCTGGAGTTATAAAATATACTCCTTTTTTTTGAGGATGTTTGACTTTTCCTTTGGGGAAGTCATTCATTTCATACTTCCTTTTTTCCCTGGACTGATCACCTTCCCAGCACAGCTGGACTCTAGCATCAAACTCTGACAGCTCATTCTCACCAATACACTTGGACAGGGTTGATCAGGAAACCTTGTCCAGAAGTCCAACAGACCCTTGGATTTTGACACCCTCTTCTGGTTCCAAAGCACCTTCCTCCCCAAACTTGCCAATGGGTTTTAATCTCTGGGAGGAGAAATGAGCCACTGACAGAGCAAGGACTTTTCATTTATTTATTTTTAAATTAGCAGTTTCCTTTGAACCAGGCAAATAACAACATATTAAATAAAAATCAACTTTATGTCCTCTAAATACATTACTAAAGTAGAACATTGGAATATACCACGAACTTCAGTGCTTCTGTCCTCATTAGTATACTGGTGAGTATCCCTGCCTGTCACGTGGGAGACAACCTACAGGGAATCCAAAAAAGGTTTTGCTTTTGTTTTTAATTCCCCCATTTCTACTCTCACGTTTCTGAAACATCTCCTCCTTTTGGTTTCCAGTAGAAATCCAAACCCTAGAAAATTCAAATGAAAAGTTCTGGACTAAAGAAAGTGGGACATGGGAAAGATTGGCCATAGGACTGGTATGAGTTAGTGTGGTTTTGCTGACCAGTGAAGCCGTCTTGCTCTCCTGCCTTTAGGGTGTAGGTGAACTGAATTCTTTAGCAGCTCACTCTCCACCAGAGTCCTGGGTGCTGGCTCTGAACTCATTTAAGGCATAGAGAAAAGCGCACACACTGTGTTTTTGTTTCTACTTGGTCTTTAGGGAGGATGCTCCCTGGGGATACGAAAGTAGCAGACGGGTTTTCATAACTGGAGGAACATTCCCACAAAAGTGCATTCTCCTCCCTCTCTAAGGTGGAGTGGCAAAGTCAACCCCCAGTCACAGCGTGATGCCCGGGAGTCTCTGAAGAAAGAGACTTGGTAAAGGAGAGGGAAATCAAAAGAATCCAAATTCTTAGCCTAATAGATTTTGTTTATTCTATGAAGGTAAATCTTAAAATAGAAAATAATACTTAAAATAGTATCATCACACCAGTGATACAAAATACTTGCAGTCCTTACAGAAACAATACAAGACAGGCACAGAGTGATCCCTCACAAACAACCAGACACTATGGGAGAGAGATCCAATAGATCTACTGCCTCAGGACCATAGTACTGGAGGACACCAGACTCAATTGGCACAACAAAATACATAAAAGCTTTGCTCCACATCCTACATTGGTGAATAGCGACTGGGGTCTTAAAAGCTTTCAAGCGGCCATCTAAGATGCAGCTAACAGTCTCCTAGCAACCAACACGAAGAAGAACGCAAAAACAAAAACAAATAAACAAACAACAAAAAAAGGCATTTGGAAGTAATCAGCCATAGGACACAATGGCCTTCGAGACCAGAAGAACTAGGTGGTGTTCTACCTACTGATGCCAACCACTCAGGAAAGGATCAAATCTGGAGATCCTGGATAGAGTGGGAGGGAAAACATGGAAAAAAGTCCAAAAACTCAATAATGACCAGAATTACTGGTCAGATGAAATCTGCTGAGACCCCCAATACTATGGCCCTGGAATACATTCTGCACCTGGAATAAAATACACCCCCAGGGGCTGGCTCTTAGCCCAATAGTTAACAAGATGTACACGCAGACCACTCAATCCAGGATAATGCATCTTCATACTCTATGGTAATACATCCCTTAGAGCAATAGACCACGGGACACCAGAGGACCAACATTCAAATTGATGAAATACAGGACAAACAAGAGTACATAAATATGAGGGCACAGGGGGACGGTTACAGAGTAGGGAGGGGAAGAGACTGGGTTAGGGTTGGACATGGTAAATGGGGAATAAAACTAAATGTACGTGATATGTTGAATGTAAAACATACTCTTAAAATAAATAGAGTTAATAATATCCTCACATCAAAGCACAGGGAAAAAAAAAAAAACACACACCTTGCATTGGCCGGGAATCGAACCCGGGCCTCCCGCGTGGCAGGCGAGAATTCTACCACTGAACCACCAATGCTATAGATAGTAGTCTTTTTGCAGCGCCACCACTTAACTTTATTGCTGTCCCTGGCTGCGTGCTGCAATTAGAATCGCTATTTGGAAAATATCTCTCTTATGCATGACTTAAAAAACTATTCAAACTCTTCACTTTAAGGACATGGCTCTTTTCTCATGGTAACATGCTGTCAGCTTTGCTGAGCAGCAGGACTCAGCCTGGCCCTCTAAGGCAGTCTGGCTACCTCCAACCAATAAGGAGGAGAAAGTGTTCTTTTGGGAAGTTACTGCGTTAACCACCTCCGAGTGCTCGTAGAACAAGCTGGGGGAAGCTAGAACTTTCTCGTCATTTCTCAAGTTTCAGCGCTCTGAGTCAAGAGGTGGATGTACCTGCCCTCGCCCGGCCTCACATGACCGCACCCTCTCCTCTGAGTCAGCCCAGGCGAGCAGGGACCTCGGCGCTAGACTCGAAGAGAAGGTGCGGGAAAGTTCGCGGCTGCAGGCGCAGGAGGGGGCTGGTACCCGGCAAATGGAATAAAAAGTCAGTGGAAGCAGAGTGACGCACATTTGAGCCGAGCTGCCCGGAAAAGAACCAGGAGAACAGCACTGCTGAGCAGCATCAACTCCCGCAGAGCAGACTCATCTGACTCGGCATCAGACTTGACCCTGGGAGCGCGAGGAGCCATGTCAGCCCCGAGGGAATTGGCTCTTGGCATCGACCTGGGCACCACGTACTCCTGCGTGGGTGTGTTCCAGCGCGGCGGGGTAGAGATCCTCACCAACGACCTGGGCAAGCGCACCACGCCCAGCTACCTGTGCTTCACCTGTGAGGCCATGTTTCTATATAACCACCCTGCATATGGGTAGCCATTTTTGCAATATGCCTTAGCAGTACTCCACGCTTTAGTGCCTTAGTTACTGGAAAAACCACAAAGAGTCCTGACTACCCCCACCTCTTCAATACCCAAGCATTCTCCTTAGCAACAACCAATCAGTAAATGGTAGAGAAATACCTTACCTAAAATAGAAAGGACAGTTGGTGGCTTCGGCCCACCAGACAGAGCCAATCAAGTAGGAACAACTAGCAACTTGGAAAATGTCAACCAATCCTGTAATTTTCTGATTGAAACTTCCTCCTTCCTGCTGTACCCCCTATAAAGACCCCATCACCCCTGAGTTCGGGGCTCTCAATCCTGAACCGCTGTGTCGGACGGTTGAAGGTCCGAGCTCCAGCTTGAATAAACAACCCCTCTGCTTTTGCAGTGTAATCGGCTCCTTGGTGGTTTTGGGGGTTTCAAGATCTGGGCACAACACACCGACACCGAGGGGCTGGTCGGCAACGCGGCCAAGAGCCAGGCGGCTCTGAACCCGCACAACACTGTGTTTGACTCAGCTGATTGGCCGCAAATTCGCTGACGCGACTGAGCAGTCGTACATGAAGCTTTGGCCTTTCCAGGTGGTGAATGAGGGCGGCAAGCCCAAGGTGCGCGTCTCCTACCGTGGGCAGGACAAGACCTTCTGCCCGGAGGAGATCTCGGCCATGGTGCTGAGCAAGATGAAGGAGACAGCCGAGATGTATCTGGGCCAGCCGGTGAGGCACGCGGTTATCACGGTGCCGGCCTATTTCAACGACTCGCAGCATCAGGCTACCAAGGACACAGGTGCCATCGCGGGGCTCAACGTGCTCAGGATCATCAACGGCCGACCGCTGCCTCCATCGCCTATGGGCTGGACCGGCGAAGCACGGGAGAGCGGAACGTGCTCATTTTTTATTTGGGTGGGGGCACCTTCGCCGTGTCAGTCCTCACTATTGACGCTGGTGTCTTTGAAGTGAAGGCCACGGCTGGAGACACTCACCTGGGTGGAGAAGATTTCGACAATCGGCTGGTGAACCATTTCGTGGAGGAATTCCGGCGAAAGCATGGGGAGGACGTGAGCGGGAATAAGTGGGCCCTGCGCAGGCTACGCACTGCCTGTGAGCGCGCCAAACGCACCCTATCCTCCACCACACAGGCCGCCCTGGAGATCGACTCCTTGTTCGAGGGCTTGGACTTCTACACGTCCATCACTCGATCCCGCTTTGACGGGCTGTGCTCAGACCTCTTCCGCAGTACCCTGGAACCTGTGGAGAAGGCCCTGAAGGATGCCAAGCTGGACAAGGCCCAGATTCAGGACCTCGTCTTAGTGGGCGGCTCCACCCGCATCCCCAAGGTGCAGAAGCTGCTGCAGGACTATTTCAGGGACAGGGAGCTGAACAAGAGCATCAACCCCGATGAGGCCGTGGCCTATGGCGCTGTGGTGCAGGCAGCAGTGCTGATGGGGGACAAGTGTGAGAAACTGCAAGATCTCTTGCTGCTAGATGTAGCACCCCTGTCTGGGCCTGGAGACAGCGGGGGTGGGTGGGGGGGTGATGACCACATTGATCCGGAGGAATGCCACAATCCCCACAAAACAGACCCAGACTTTCACCACCTATTTAGACAACCAGCCTGGGGTTCTCTGATTCAAGGTTTGAGGGTGAGAGAGCCAGGACCAAGAACAACAACTTGCTGGGGCGCTTTGAGCTCTGTGGCATCCCTCCTGCACCACGGGGAGTCCCTCAGATTGAGGTGACCTTTGATACTGATGCCAATGGAATTCTGAATGTGACAGGCACTGATAGGAACACAGGCAAGGCTAATAAGACCACCATCAGCAATTACAAGGGCCGACTGAGCAAAGAGGAGGTGGAAAGGATGGTCCATGAGGCTGAGCAGTACAAGGCTGAGGATGATGCCCAGAGGGACAGAGTGGCTGTCAAAAACTCCCTAGAGGCCCTTATCTCCCATGAAGAGCTCTTTGCAAGAGGAAGGTCTTAGGAACAAGATTACTGAAGAAGACAGGTACAGAGTACAAGACAAGTGTCAGGAAGTCCTTGCCTGGCTGGAGTGCAACCAGTTGGCAGAGAAGGAGGAGTATGAGTATCAGAAGAGGGGGCTGGAGCAGACCTGTTGCCCGATTTTCTCCAGGCTTTATGGGGGACCTGACATTCCTGGGGGCAGCAGTTGTGGGGCTCAAGCCCACCAGGGGGTGCCTGGTACTGGCCCCATCACTGAGGAAGTGGATTGAATGGCTCCTGGTGACACGTCAGCTGTGACTGACAGGACAGCTTGTGAGCTCTCTAGACTGTGTTCTATAATACTGCCCTGTAACTTCAGGAGTGGGAGTGGGGAAGAGCTCCCCAAACAGGGAGATTTCATCACAGGATATAGTATTTTATAACTGAAGTCTTTGTCATTTGACTTATGTTTTCCTTTAATTCTTTTCTTCCATTTCAAACAAACAAAGATCACTAAAGTATCAGTAGTGTGACGCTTTGATGTTTGAAAATTGTTTTCACCTGTACTTTGTTACTTGCATGTATGGATTACACCATTTAAAATAAAATATTAATAAACTTTTAAAATGCCTTCTTAGTTTTCATTTTTGCCAATTAAGTACGTGAAAGGGCTGGTCTTTCAGGAGCAGAAAATGTTACGGTCAATGCTAAAGGAGGAATATGAAGAAAATACACAAGGTTGTGTGCATGATTTCTGTAAGGGAAAACAGAATAAGAGAAAGTTTGAGACAGACACATTGACACAGTATTGAAGTATAAGGGTCGGTAGAGAGGAGAGGACTGTTTGCGAAGACTGGGGGGAAGGGGTGAATTGGAGTTGGAAAAGCAGAGAATGGAGAGAAACTTCAAGTCCTTGGCAAAGTAACTACTCCCATATGTGACCCTAATATGGAAAGTCTACTGGGAGCCTAGTTTAGTTCATAAATATATATGTTCTAATAGCATTGACAAATAGTTGACATGCTGGTTAGCTGTTCCAAATCATGTCACTTTATTCTTTGTTCTTTTAGAGAAAAGAGTCCATGTCTTAGACTCTGGGGAATGGTATATATTAGAAAGAGTAGGTATAATGTTGTGATTAAGTTTACCATTGACTTTTTTAATGTAGAGAAATAGCAGGGCCCTATCTAGTTTCTGCTGATGGGCCCTAGGATGATAATAACAATAGTAGCAACAGTAATTATTATACCTACATGAGAGGCAGTAAAATATAATAGCTATATTGGAACCAAACTGCATGGATTTTCAGCTCTGCCACGTTATATGCTATGCAAATTAACTTCTGAGCTTCAGTTTCCCTTTCTATATAATGAATGATGATGATAATAATAGTGGCTACTTCAGGATTGTTGTGAAAGTTAAATTAATATATGTAAGAGGTTTTAATAAAGTGTCAACAAATATTTGCTATTACTAAATATTATTAAGGAGCTCTGATGGTATAGTGGTTAAGGCATTTTGGGCCCAGCCGAAAGATTGGTTGTTGGTTAACAAAATACTATTAGTTGAGCTACTTGATACACAGGATCTAATTTAATCTTCACAGGAACATCATGGAGTATTATCACTTTTTTCAGAAAAAGATTCTGAGGTTCAATGTGGTTAATCAGCTTACTCAAGGTCAATATAGTTAGTAAGTACCTGGGGAGTGGGGTGGGGAGGTGTGGTTCAGTGAATGTGGCCCTGCTAGCTATAGTTTTTGTTAACTCCCATCACATGTTAAGGGTATTATGCAAATGTAGTACTTGTGGCCCACCAAGGGAATTGAATAGCTTGCTGATAAAGGTGCATGGTACCCTTGTGGGGTGAGACCATGCAAATAAGGTGTATGGAACCCCTAATGTGAGGGTTGGTAAGGCTTCCATCCCACTAGGCTTAAAATGAGCCACTCCAGAGGCTGAAAGGGGGATCTCACTACTACCAAGAAGGAAGAGCCAGGAGAGGAGTATATCCTATGGATCTGGGGTCCCTGCGCTTGGAGCCTCCTTGACCCAGGAGACAGAGGGAGCTGTAACACTGCAGAGATGGTGAGAAGCAGTGGTAAAGAAGCAGTAGCAGAGAAACAGAGGCAGCAGAACCAGGAGACTGGTGGGAGACAGCATGGTGAGCTTCCTGGCTCACAGAGTGAGAAAGCTGAATGCCTCTGGGCAGGAGGTTTACTGGAGAAGTGGCATGCCAAGGGGGTACTTACTGAGCTAAAAGAGCTTTGTAACACTTGCCCAAGCAGGGTAAAGGCTTCAAGGCCATGTGGCTGAGAGACCATGTGCTAGAGAGAGGCATGCCTGTGGGCACTGCTGAGAGGAAGCTGTCCTGCTTGAAAAACTGTATCTTCAGTCATTTCTGATCCTGGATTGTAACCTGTTACATAATTGTGAGTATTGTCTGTGAGTTCTGTGCGACCATTGCAATAAATTATCATCAATCCCAGCAGAGAGAGAGAGTGCTGTGGGAAGGACATTGGTGTCAGAATTGGTAAAAAGGTTAGAGGGTGGAGTCATGTTTCATCTCCACTTTATAAGAATCAGCCTGGGCCTGTTAAACTTAATTCTCTTTCCTCCTTGTGAAGTTTGAGGTCAGACTCCTCTGCTCTGCAGATTTTACAAGAGGGTTGACATTAAGAACCAGGCTTGACTGTAGAGCCTATTGCATTGTCACCCCACAAATAGGCCATAACCCGACTAATTATCTGATCTTTCGCCGAACCAAACTCACTGCCATTGAGCAGTATCTCTACGGAAGCAGATTGCCCAGTCTTCCTTCTGAGGAGTGGCTGTTGGGTTTAAACCACCAGTCTTCTGGTTAGTAGTCAAATACCTTAGGCACTACGCCACCAGAGCTCCCACCAAGACCTCCCACCAAGTGCTATGAATTGCACATCCTCTTTTAGAACAACTGGATGCTGAACACTGAGAGAAAAAGTGTACATTTTATTGTACATTTACATTAGTCATTATATGAATATCTGTGTGTTTTTATAGCAAGGAACTAACCTAGGAAATATCCATGGGCTCAACTTTACTGCTAATCAAGTAAATGACAATGTAAGAGCTAGAACAAATCTGAATGAGTTAGTTCCCGATCATCTCAGAAATGAAGGTGGGCTTGGATAGAGCAATGCTACATGATATTTAGCTAAAGATAATCTCTTGCAGGTAGAGAGTAGGTTGCATTCACAACCCAGTTGCCCCGATTGTCATTTCACATTTTTAATTGAACCTGGTCCAAGTCCTATGTTGCTTGGCTTCACAGTGAAGGAATCAGCAACAAAGAGGTAGGGATCACACATACATTCTGTATTACATTTTCCTTACCTGAACATCCTCCCAACTTCCAGAATTCACCATCCCAGGCTGTTTGTACTTTCCAAGAAGAATGATGACACTCCCTGGATTTAGAAAGTTTCTTAGCATTTCAGTAGTATGCCATGTTCTCTCTCCCTTCCTCCTTCCTTAAAAACAAGCAAGCAAGCAAGCTAACAACACACACAGCGTGTAAGAAGGAAAATTTCTTAGTGCTTAGTTTTGAAAACACCTCAGCCACTCCTAACTGTATCTATTTTTCTATCAAGAAATTTAAGTCAATTAATAATTTCATCTACTTTTTTAAAAATAATATTTTGTGGTGTTTTTGGCAAAGGTTTACACAGTAGTTTAGGTTTCCATTCAGCAATTTATATGCAAATCATTCAGTGATATTTCATCTACTCTTAAATGACTACTGCTGATCATTTTGCTTTAACTTTTTTGGGGACTGTTTTGTGTACAATAGGCATTTAAGAATCCTTATCTTGTGTTCTGTTAGTAAAGATTGTTGTCATCACAACTGTGTCATCACATTCCTTCCTCCAAAATTGTCCTTGTCAGGTGCTATAGAGTCTGTTCCAACTCATAGTGACCCTACATACAAGAGAATGAAACATTGCCTGCTTCTGTGCCATCCTCACAATCCTTGCCATTCTTGAGCTCATTGTCAAAGCCACTGTCTCAATCCATCTTGTTGAGGGTCTTCCCTTTTTTCACTGCCCTTCTACTTTACCAAGCATGATTTTCTTCTCCAGAGATTGCTCATTTCTGACAACACACCCAAAGTATGTGAGACAAAGTCTGCCATTCTTGCTTCTAAGGAGCATTCCTGCTATACTTCCTCCAAGACTGATTTATTCATTCTTCTAGAAGTCCACGGTACATTCAACACCACAATTCAAATGCATCAATTCTTCTGTAGTCTTCCTTATTCGTTGTCTAATTATCATATGCATATGAGACTATTGAAAATTCCATGGGTCAGGCACACTTTAATCTTCAAAGTAACATCTTTGCTCTTTAAAGAGGTCTTTTGCAGCAGATTTGTCCAATGCAATACCTTGTTTGATTTCTTGATTACTACTTCAGTGGGCATTAATTATGGAGCCAAGTAAAATGAAATCCTTAACAACTTCAATTTTTTATCCAAATTGTAAGGATCCTTGTTTTCTTTATGTTGTGGTATAACCCATACTGAACCCATGATGAAGACTTTGATCTTCATCAGTAAATGCTCCAAGTCTTCCTCACTTCCAGCAAGCAAGGTTCTGTCATCTACATATCACAGGTTGTTAATGAGTCTTCCTCCAATCCTGATACTACATTCTTCTTCATATTGTCCAACTTCTTGGATTATTTGTTCAGCATAAAGATTGAATAAATATGATAAAAGGACACCACTCTGATGCACATTCTTCTGATTTTAAACTATGCAGTATCCCCTTGTTCTGTTTAAACAATTGCCTCTTTCTTGGTCTAGGTACGAGTTCCTCACGAGCACAATTAAGTGTCCTGGAATTCCCCATCTTTGCAGTGTTGTTCCTAATTTTTTATGATCCACACAATCAAATGACTTTACATAGTAAATAAAACTCCATCTGACATCAGTATAATATTCCTTGTTCCACATCCTCTTCAGACTCCAGCTTGAATTTTTGGTAGTTCTCTGTCAATAAATTGCTGCAACCATTTTTGAATGATCTTCAGCAAAATTTTACTTGTGTGTGATATTAATTATATTGTTAAATAATTTCCATATTCTGTTGGATCACCTTTTGTTTTGGTTACTTCATGCCACTCTAACACAAAATACCACAAATGGGTGGCTTTAACAAACAGGAGTTATTCTCTTAGAATTTTGGAGACTAGAAGTACAAGTTCAAAGTGCCAGGCTCTAGGGGCTGGGTGAAAGTCCTTCAACCTTGGGCTTCAGCTTGATCTCCTGCTCCTGGCCCACTGAAGCTAGAGGCTTTCCTTCACTTGGGTAGCTGCTGGCTGCTG